AAATTACAAGTTCTCTCCCTTAACTTTATGGGCTCAACTACGCCTCCTTTTGCCAGTAAAATATATATGAATTATCCAAACAATAATCAAGACGTTTCAAGTTATTAAAAAAATAGAGAATATCTACGATTATAATGTTTATATATGTATAGGTCTATGTATAAAACATTTATTAAAATTTTATTTCCTTGTAAAATATTTATAATTATTATTTTTCTTTTATTTCCCAACATATTATTATTTATTAAATAAAAAAAAAAAAATGATTTTCGATAAACTTAGTAAATGTTTTATCATTTTATAATTGTTTTGTATAAATACAAAATGGTCATGCGTGATTCCGTTTATGTTTACATATGAATATTTAATCCACAAAAATAGACTAATTTAAAAAAAAAAAACTTTATTTCACACATGATAAACAAGTATATTTAAGCTTATTTATTTATCACATCTTTTGGCTTATAAAATGCTCCACTTTAAGCTAAAAGTTTATGTAAGTAATCCTCAATCATGTGAGCATTCAGTGTAAACATTTTGCCAGACTTTGTAAAGATTTTTTCTTTGCTTGGGTTTTGTGCTTAGCAGACTACCTTGAAAATACTTGCCAGTTACAATCTTGGTATATAAGTATAAAGTATATTCGCCACTCTTGTTATCGGATATTCACCTCTCTCTCTCTATCGCACTCTCTTTCTTTCATTTTTACTCTCATTCTCAGTTTGTTTGCTAAATGCAAAGTTTTCAATATGCAACGGTTTGTCGCTATCTCAGTTCAGTTTCCCTGTATCTTTCATTCTCTCTCTCTCTCTCTCTCTCTCTCTCTCTCTGTTGTTTTGCTGTGGCAGGTGTTTTATGGAGAAAAATATTTTCATACATAAAAGTTTTACGACAACAGCGACTACACAACAACAACAACAGGAACAACTAGAATAGTTACATTGTCTACTTGGGCGCATTTTGTGACTTATGTGCGAGTTGCTTAAAGTAGAAGTATACGCAATGTTGCAAAGTTTCGTTTTTTGGCATTAAGTGGGCCTTGTAAATTGCTGCATTTTGCAGCACTGTAGACCACTTTATTTCAGAACTATTCACTTTAACTAAGTGCAAAAATATGTGCTTGAAGTCAAAGATGTTAGCATTGAAAAAAAAAATCAATTGTGAAAGCAAGCGTTGGCTAATGAAAGACAGATACCAAAATAAGTGAAGTAGTTAACTCTAAAAATCAAATGCATTTTCCAATACTGGAATTGTTAAAGATATATGTTATAAGAATATGCCATAAATATATAAAATAGTGTCAAGCTATCAAGATAAACCATTGGCGACTAAAAAATAGGATTGGAAATATCACAATAGAAAATATACAAAAGAGTAGAATGGTCAATATTCGTTCCACAACACTGAACATTTTACAGCTGTTATCAAACAAATATTAAATTTAGTTTAACAGTTAATAAGACGTCCGTATAATTATGCATAATTATAATAAATAATTGTAAAAAAAATTACAGAAAAGAGAGCCTTTAAAAAAAAAAAAAAACGTACTTAGTGCTCAGAGTCCAAAGCATTTTGTAACACTACAAGTTAATGTACTTCACAGCTATTCATTTACCCCACGAATTAGACATGCAAATTTCACACAAAGTGTAAGAAAGAGGCAGAGCGAGAGCGTAGGTGTGTCTGAGCGAGTGCGTGTTGCAGTTGCTGTTCTCTTTGGTGCATTTTGCAACACTATCAAAATGCTCTTTAATTTAATGGCTATTCATTTAACAAATTGCACACCAAAAAGATGACAGTTCAGTCCAGTTCAGCACAGCATTCCTCCTCCCATATACGCCCCACCCCCTGCTGCCCAGCACTTTATGCTGTTCTCCATTTTTCTGGCTATGGCGCCTCTCGCTTGTTAACTGAAACTAAACAGTACAAACACGACTGTCAACAACTGTAACGTTTACCGCATGTTACCGCTGCGCAACGTCCTGTGCTGCATGACAGGACATGTTGTGGCTTCTCGGGCTACCACACACACACACACGGGCATGAGAAGAGTGTGCGAGAGATGGAGAGAGAATGGGCACAGCAGCTTTTGCTCGGTTTTGTATGTTTGTTCCATGTGAGTGATAATGCATGTGTCCATATGGGACGCTCCTATCTGGGTTTGTCGTCGGTCAGCAGGCTCGGCTACGCCCTAGCTTCAATACCCTTTCCCCTCCCCGCCCGCCCTCTCAACTGTTTAATTGTCGAAATGCATTTTGTATGCGCTGCATTCGTAGCTGGGCCTTCGAATTGGCCTATTGCTGAATAGAACTCGAAGAATTTTGTATTTTTGTCTGGATTTTTTTTAATTTGAGTTCACTTCACGTGCCGTGCATATTTCTGGACTACAATGGAATTTCATTGTTATCATTGAAGCATTCAAAATTGAGCTAGCTTATTTGAGGTAGCTGAAGGCATGAAATATATGAAGGAAAATTAATTTATACTCAACTCTAGGCATTCTTATTGCATTAGTTAATAATTCGATTAAACTGAGTTCATAGTTCAATTATACAATTCAGTCTAGCTATACTTCAGCCTTTTATTATTTTTTTGGCATTTTTTAAAACACTTAATAATACTTATTAAAAAATAGGTGGGTGTTAATTCAAAAATTGCTCAACTTACTAAATAAACCAACTTTGCACAATCTTTCACCCACCCAGACTTCTCTCAAATTGACCTCTGGCAATTCAGTTGCTGCCCCAAAAATGTGCCCAAAAGATAACTTCATATATCATATGTTAAATGCCTAGGGTTACACCTCTCCGACTGCTAGTTGAACCATTAAATACATAAATTAGACTTTATATGCAACTCAACAATGTCTCCCTCTTTCTCTTTCTCACGACTCTCTTTCTCCCTCTCGTTTCCTTTCAGTGTGTTTGTCAGTTCTGCCGCATTGAGCACGCAATTTATGAGCGCCCAAATTTCATTTGGCACTTAAAAAAAAAAAAAAATATTTCTATATATGAGAAAAGAGAAGCTAAAAAATAACCTAGAGCATTACAAAAAATATAAGTCAAATATGTTTTGGCAAATTTCTGGACGATTATCAAAAACGTGCGCCATCTGAGTATGTGGGGCAGTGCTTTTTGCTTTCCTCTCACAATTCATATTATTTTTGTCTGACTTTATAGAGCCGCATCAATAAATTCAATAATTTATGGGCGACAAATTTATTGCAGTTGCTGCGATAACAGCTGCTAACAAATATTTAAATAAATGAAATAAAATGCCTCAATTTAAAGTTGAAATGAATGCAAAATAAAAAAATACAAAAAAATGTTTGTAAAGTTAAATAATTGTCTGGCTGCTGCTGCTGCTGCAGAAAAAAAAAATGAAAACAAGATCGACGAACGACGGGCAGACACAGACCCTCAGCCACGCCCCCTCAAAAGGGCATGCAAACTGTATTATCACCTCAAATATGTGTAATAAACTCCCCAGGGGTCCTGGCAGTGGCACAAAGCACAAAACACACACACACACACACACACACGCAACTATACAAACATGACACAAAAAACAAAAAAAGAGAGAGAGAGGCAAAAATAAATAAAGAAAGGAGAGCATTAAAAAACGCAGACGACTCTGTGTGGCATATGGCAACTGGGTAGCTGCCCGTGCCCCCGCCAATGAAGTTATCAGCGTGTGCCAGACGGAGCTTGGGGAGCAGCCAAAAGCCAAGTAAACATTGAGACAAATAAATAAATTACATTTAAAGGGCCAACCAGAGGCAGGAGCAGCAGCCTGAAGTAGCTGATAGAGAGCAGTAGCATTCGAAGAGTTGAATGGCAGATAAATACGTGAAGCCTATATCAGAAATGTGAATACCGTGTTATATCACAGCAATTAATTGCTGCACATTTGCTGGGCCACGAAGAATTGAAGAGAGAATGGTGAGGGTGGGATGGAGAGGAGAGGGTGAGGGTGTATTGCAACTGCTTTTGCGTCGACAGCTCTGTAATTTCTCCCACTCTCTGTTTCCCTCTCTCTCACTCTCGATCTCTCTCGATCTCTCTCTCTCTCTCTCTCTCTCTCTCTCTCTCTCTCGCTCCCTATAAGCTTATGCTTTGCAAAGGGAAGCAGAGCAAAACTAAAGTATGCAATGAATGCTTTGAACTATTAAGACGGACGAGAAATATCGATAGCTCAACAAATTCAAAGAGAATATAAAGAAATTATTTTATAGAGATAGTAAAAAAAAAAACACCACTTTGTTTGAAATTATATTCTGTTGAATTTTTATTTTATTTTATTTTTT